TTTATGGTTAATGGTGGTGTAAGGTGATGTAATTGGTTTTGTTGAACTCTGCTGTGTAAATTAAAGTTCACAGAATGGGTAGGGAGTATGGAATTGCCTTGTATTTTCAGTAAATACAGAATGATGCCGTTTTTGTATTATTATTACTATTATGCAGTTTCCTCAGAAAAATTGATTAAGTGACATTTGATTTTATTGAATCATCATTATTACAAGTTCTCATCAAACAATAGACTGTTTGTATTTGCTTTAAGCTGACATTATCTTTAGACATGGGCCAGGGGTCGGTTTGATTCGAGCCTTGCTGAGTTCGTGATTTGTCATCAAACCATCCCGTATATGTTGCCTGTTCAAAACGGCCATTTGGCCATGTTTATATCTAATGGACATTATTTTTGAAATTCTTATTTCATTTGAATTGCTTTTTTTTTTTTAAAAAAAAAAATTATAAATCCTACATTTTGCCTTTCCTGGGAACTATTGGATTATTGGCCAATGTAGCTGCTATCTTGCTTTCGAATAAAAATTTTATAGCCATCATTAAGTATCCACAAAGTTTTGAGTCTAATTTTGCTTATGTGACATGTAAATAGATTACATTTTTTATGACATGGATAGAACTATATAAAAGTATCACAACTCATTTCAATGCAAAGAGATTAGATCTCTACTTGAGTCTAACAAACTTTAGGGTAGACTGATCTTTTTTTCTTGTTATCACGTCAGTAAGACCCAATACACTTAGACAATATTTTTCTGGTCTATTTTCTAAGTAACATGTAAATTCTTTTAAATGGACCTAAAGCATCTTAGATTCTCAATGTAACAAAAAATGCTGTACTTTGACAAAAAATTGACAGAACTTGTATACTTGATTTGTAAATTTCGTATAATAGTCGGTAATACTTAATTCAAATTTTGAAGCTCACCTATCGAGCTAAAACATGGAATTAATCATTAATGTGATAAGCTTAACAACAGCATAATTTGAAAGTGGAAATGTGCAATGTATGTTTGTGGAAAATATAAAAAATATTTGATCACAAGAACAAGATAGAATACAAACATCACATTTGTTTACAACACTTAGTTTGTGGAAAATAAAATATTACTTGATCACAAGAACAAGATAAAATACAATCATCACATTTGTTTACACACTCGACCACAATCACCATCTACGGGTTTTTTCCCCAACAAACGAGTCAAAAAATTAAATAAAAATATTATAGAATACCATTACACAAAGAATTGCAATACATAGGCCAAACCTTTCTTACTAAAACAAAATATACAAACCCCACAAACATAAATATTCAAACCAATACAACAAATAAAACCAATCAATTATAGCGAAAGAGTCGATCATTGGGTAGCATTAATTGGGGTGCCAGTCCTGGCCTGAGATATCCGGTTCGCATAAATCGTCACCAGCCGCAGTTGCGTGCTGTTGAGTCCCTCCAAATATGGTAAAAATGCTTTCCCAAGAATGATATATATGTCTACCAGACAGAAAACAACGGTCTGCAATCCCACAAAAATGCACGTAAGTTTCTATGGGTTTTAAATATTAAGGAAAAACGACTTCCATAACAGTTTGGTATAATGGTAGAAAATGTCAAGTTGGAGGTTTTTATTTTAATGGCATAAAAAATGATTTAGTTTNNNTGCTTAATTATATCAAACCATAAGTCTTCATGTTTCTTTCCAAGATATATAACTAAAAGGTTGTGTATAGATGGTATCGTATAAAATATTTGAAGGAACACTCAGTTTTAGATGTTAAATGATTTTTAATGGTATTCTTTGGTGGCAAGTAGAAGTATCAAAATGAAGACGGTTTACCTTGCGAACATCTGCACTCTGGTTACCAAATGCATCAAAAAGATGCGGCAAAAATGAGGGCAATTGAGCTGTCAGCTCCTCTTGGGAGAGCCGGCCAACAAGCTGCATAACGGAAGAGCATAAGAAGATGATACATAAAGGTTCGGAGTTGACAAACAATCAACTTCAACGTAAATCTTAAAAACTCTCACGAGCCACATCCTTGAGCACTGATCCAAAGTGAAAGGGCACTAATCGAGCTTGTTTGGAAACACTTCTCAAATAGACTTTTAGATGCAAAAATCCATGTAGATAAATAATTCATGTTTGGTGATAAATTATGGACTTATGGATAAGTTGATTCTCCAAAACGCCCATTCTATAGAAGTAAAGGATAGAGACTTTGGAGAAGTCCATTTAATAAATGAACTTTTAGGAAAGTGCTCCCAAACAAGCACTCATTATTCAAATGACAGTAAAGATAGATTGGTCTCAACTATTTGCAAATATAAAAGGAACCTTCTGTCTACAAGAAACTAACAGCAAACAAATAAAGAAAACAGAAATTAGAATGAAGATGATAGCAACGAAAATAGCAAAAACAGATTGATAGCTACTTCACATATCGGCTATTGAATAATAAGATAATGAAGCATAGCAAATAAGCAGATATCTAAGAACTGCAAGACATGCTCTTAGTTTATTAGGCTATAATTGAGGACACCATAAAGTTAACAATATATTGCAAAAGCACCAAAATTAATTGAAACGTTAAATATTTCTTCGAAGAGAAAACAATGAAATAAAAAATAAAAAAACCATTATATGCCACTATACTTGCTAAGAAAAAGGAAGACTAGAAAAAGGAGGAGCCTACCTTCGTTAAACAATTAATGCATGTGACAAGAGTTCTTTCATCTTCGTCAACAAGTAAAGGAACAATAACCTACAAAAATAACAGAGAGATGATCAGGTCAAGGTAGCTGAATAATATTGGATATAGTTTATTTTTGAAAAATTGTTTATTTGAATTAAGTTAGAGGGTGGAGAAAATTGTTTTGGTGGAAGAATGGATTAATTTGAGTTTGAAAATGGATATGAGCTAAAATGTAAATATTAAAGTTGTTGTGATATAGAAGTAAATAAAATAATGATTGCAAATGATTGGTAGTTAAAAATATATTAGTTGATTAACAGTAATTTTTGTTGGAATATGTGTCTTAATGATTGATTTATATTTTTTAATTGTGTTGATAAGATTGATGAGAAAAAAGTGGGAGTAAATGAACAGTAGTTTTTTTAGGAAAAATCCAATCACATGACTCTTGAAAAAAAAAAAAATCCGGCGAAACAAAATCAGATATTATTTATAACCAATCTTATGGAAAATAGCAGTGGTACTCACGTCTAAACATCTTAACGGGTCGTACTGAGCCAAGACTATAGTCAAGCAATTCTCTGATTCACTGGAAACCTAATAGAGATTAATCCTTTTAGACTGAGATAAAAAACAGTACGGAGAAACTGAGATAGCTTAGTTGAAAGTCATTTACTTTAGGAACCACATCCTTTATTGCATGAAGCAGCTTGTCAATCACAATTTCAACAGAATCCTCCATAGCAACTTTCTGCAGAAGTATAAAATCCATTAGAAGAAACGTATCGCACGGGATTTGGTATACAGCCACTAAAATGTACAGTTATTGACAGCCTACCTGGTTCTTGACCATTTCAACAATAATTGCAAGGGCCAGCTCGCGTATTGATGAGTCAGAATCATCCAGCACTTCAAGTATAGTCGTTAATATCTGGTTAAAGTACTGACATATGGCAGATTGACTTTATATTAGATTCCAATTTATTTATTGTTTAAAAAAAAAAAATAGAAGCAAACGTATTTTCAAGGCAATACTGCCACATCCGAAGAGCTTTACCAAGCAAATAGAAATATATGATTACAAGACAAACCAGCGTTCAATGACATTGAAAATCAATTACCAGATGCAATGAGACTGCTGATCAATCGTATACATAAAGGAACATAAACAGATAAATACAGGAGTGCATTTTTCAGGTATGTTTCAAGAATGCTTTCTTCATATTTCCAACAGACACTCCTAAACATAGCAGAGTTGAAGGGTTTAGCATTGGATATGGATTATACCTTGCTCCAAATAGACTGATCGTTGGATACGGAAACTTCGATCAACTGCTGAAGTGCATCACGCTTGTTTGCTGAAGGACTCTCATCATTAGAAATCTATTCAGAATAGGGACATGCACAAAATAACATGAGAAAACAGGCTACGGGAGACATACATATAATAACAAAAGAAAAGAATAAAGATGGAAAACTTCCAAAATGTAATTGCAACCTTGAGGTTCTTTCACCAGAAGATATTGAAAATAAGCGAAAAAAAGAGATGCAATGCAAAGAGCAAAACAGTAGCAAGATAAAATATATTAGAAACTCACCAAATGAAGAATCTTGGGAATACTGGGACCTGATTCAGCAGTAGCATTTACTTTTATATCTGGGAGTTTATGTTTATTTAGTGTCACTTCAGAGGACAAGTTATCAACCTCAAAGTCAGAAGACTTTTGTAAATGATCAGATCCAATCAGACCATTGATGTCAAAATGTGGTGTTGAAGAACTCTCAACATTTGCATGGCTATCCATTGACCGAGCCCTGATAATATCAGCTGTGGTATTGGAGTCATAATTCAAGGTTTTATAATTTGAGGTAGGAACATCAGGGTTAGAATTGATCTCCAGAACCTGATGATTCAGATTCTCATTATGGGCCGCATCATCAGATGTTAAGTTACTGATAGAACCTGTAATATGAGATGCATCTTGAAGAGAACCCCACTTCCTACCACCATCACTATCAACAGAAGCCGAATGATATTTTCCAAACAAATGGCTTTTCTTCACTGCTCCAATATAACCTTCTTCGGAGGAAGTCCCAACCACATCAGATGGATCATATGAGGACTTGCCACGTCTATCTTTCTTGCTTTGCAGAAAGGTCATTAAGTCAACTTCTATGCGGGGGGTGTACTGCTTCAATGCCCGTCTTAAAGAATTCTGTTCTTCAACAGATAAGCTAAGGATATAATTCAATACTGCTGCCGAGTCGTAATGAGTATAAACCGATATTATGCATGTAATGGCTGCTTCTTTCAGTTTAGTATTTTTATCATGGACCAATGGTACCAATTTTGCAAGCCACAGGTTAAGAATGCCAGGATTAGCAGAACCCTCAGAATTTGGTGCGTGCTTGTTAAATGAGCCTATAGCAAACTCAATAACTGCCAATTTGGCTTTAGGGGAGCGCTGTTCGTCCAACGAGCGAAGCAAAGCTGGTAGAAGTGAATCTGTACCGTATGTTTTCCCAACAATGCCCAAAGTAGTTGAGCAGGGTTGCCTCACTACTTCCTTTGGATCAATCAACCGCGAGAAAACATGGGGTAGAATCCTTTCCATGTAACTCTCAAATGGCTTTCGACAGGCAGGGATAAGGTCTGCAAGAGTTGAAAGGGCAGCCTGTGCAACTTTATGGTGGGGATCATCCAAATGCTGGAAAAATAGCTTCATGACCTTCTCAAAACTTTGCACGATTTCTTGAACGCCTCTCGGGCCTTGCTGTAGCAGAGAATGAACAAAATTAAATGCAGCTACCCGAGCACTCCAGTTGGAGCTAGAATTAAGACCCTCACTCAAAGCATCATTAAGAGAAGCTGGGCCATCCGAAAAACTCGATAAGTCACCCAAAGAGAACTGACTCTCATCAAAGCTCCTTCTTCGTCCTGCAGACATCCGTCCAGCTGCATTCTTTCGTAGAAGAGGGCGCTGAAAATTCGGTATTTGGTTCTGCGAATCCCTATATTGTGTATCTAAATATTGCTTATCAACACTGGACGTCATACTTCGCCTTATATCCCTAAAATCAGAATTTTCATCGACTAATCCTCTTTCAGGTACCTTCTCGGAACCTCTCTTAGCCGCGTAAGAATATACAGGCAGAGGCTCACTTCCCACACTGCTTTGATACGCTGATTTACCCGAGAGTTTAGAAGCCTGGAATTGAGTTTTAACATCAGGCATCGCCAAACCTCCGTTGCGAATATTGCTTTTAGAAAGACCAGGCATTGAATCTACTATAGAATTTACAAGACTGCTAGAAGCTGGAACAGCAAGGGGAAATGGTGGGTCACGAGATGATGGTGGGTCAACTCCTGCACTAGGGCCAAGAATATTAATAGCTGACCACAATGGATTTAACGATAACTAGGATCAGAAAATTTCCATGCAACAATTTGCCTCCACAACAAATATGTCAAACCAAGAGAAAAATGGTTTTGGTGAGCACAATGTACGATGAGTTAGACCAGAGGAAGTAATAGGAGAACCAAATACAAAACAAATACCTAGGTCCAAACTGGATGATCGGCTTTTCCCGGACATATCCAAACCCCTCAGCATACTTTCTATAGCACTGACCTTCTGTTTGCTGGAGTGCAGCACACTTTCCAGACTACGATCTGTACCTTTACCAGAAGCTTTGGTTTGTGAGAGTAGTAGACCGGACGACAGAGAAGATGCTGAATGTATGCTTGAACTTCTATCCATTGCAACTATAGCAGAAGTTCCATATCCAGGAATGTTTGAAGGTGCAGATGTCTGAGAGGTAAATGACATGTTCGAACTCCTGTCACGAAAGGAAGGAGAAGCATGTCTTCTGTGCATTCCTCCATCTTCATCATTTATTACCTAGACAAGCATCGAGTTTCAATCATAATTCTAACAGCCTTTAAAGGGTGCAGAATGCAAGTGGGCAATAGAATGTGAGTACCCTTTGGACAACAGGATCAAAGGACAAAAACAAGCGTCGAGAGCGCTCAGGCCATGTTTTTGCAAACATTCTATAACAAGTCCTTGCAGTAGATCGTACCTGGCGAGTTTAATGGGTCATGTTATGGACTGCTACAGCCCAAGGAGAAGATAAAATATAGCAGTGATTGAAAAGATAAATAATATTTAATACAAGATACTCATACAACCAAGTGACAATTTACAAACAGGTGATCTGCTCATCAGCCAAATGAAAACATAATATAAATACCTCACTCATTGCATCTGCAACACAACACCTAATGAGGTCTGCGTACAGGTCAGCCGAGCGATGTATTTCGGGAGCATCAGCCCAGTGTTCAAGGATCAAAAGTGCATACTCACAACACCTAAATCAGGCAAAGAAAAAAACTATCATTAGAAAAACATATATAAATATGCCTAGAATCCCAAAGGATAACAAAGCTATACCTCGCTCTGAGTACAGCATTACGGTCATTCTTTGCAGAATCAACTATCCGAGGAAGTGACCGAGAAACTTTGCAATTACGCAACATCTGAAAATCTTACTTATTATCATGATATGAAGACGTAATGTAACGTGAGGGCAAATCAACAGAGTAAAGCATAACAATTACCGTTTTTATGCAGTTATCAGCCGATTCAGCAATTACAAGAACTGTTATCACAACAAGCTTGAAAAGAGCCTGGATCACAACAAGCAGGTGAGAAATGAGATGTTCTATATCAGATAACAAACTATATTAAAGAACATCTCTCACTGGAATAAACATCTCAGCACATGCTTCAAAGTCCCCCAAGAGATCTTTAGATAAGAAGCTTAATAGATGACATGCCTGAAAGAGAATAAAAATGAAGTAAGATACCACAAAAATGACACCTTCAGCAAAATAAATTGACACTGTGAAAATCTTAGGTACACTAAGTCATTAAGTAGCTTTCAGAACAATATATCATAAATCCAAATACGTAAGTATTCGTTGTCATTATGTGTATAAGCCAACTGTAGCTTGAGCCCTTTGACATGATAAATATCACCAAAGGTATAAAGGTTTGGAACTACAGAATGTGCATGAATGGGAACATTATAGATACTTGAGAAGACTATTCAGTTTTCACCAGGGTTAGAAATTTGTAAAAATTTGCCCATACCGCTAAATAAAATATTTCATATCAGGTATCAGGAATATACATCCCATGTAGACACAATGTGATATAACTATAAGTATGACTGCATTTTGAGAGAGTGCAACTAACAATCAATTACAGCCAAACCTGCTTCACAATGCTGGATCGTCTATCAGATAGTTGTGTGGTCAAAGGAGTAACCAGTTGCTTAAGAAGCCCATGAAAACAAGAGTAATCAGTAGCACCTGATATGACAGAACTAACCAATAAATATTTTTGTTCCGTGATCCCAAAGACAAAATGTAAAAAGATGCCATAAGCAGGCATATCAAGAATAATTAAAAACAGATGGGTCCATGAGAAACATAAAATCATTTTACAATCAGATAATGTAAATGTGTGAAATTATAAGTTGGCCCACCAGTTTCAATACATCCTGTGGTAAGGATTAGGAAAATATAGACACAAAACAAAAGACGCAGTGTTAACATGAAAAATCATGAAATAAAAAGAGTTTAATGCCTTATACAGTAATAACCTCCAATAACAAGCCCTTCAACTCTTTGCATAGCAGCAATACGGATAGACCAATCTTGATCAGGTACGAGGGTGGAAGCAATCTTCTCAAACTCCCTGATAAGTTCCTTTTCTGAATAAACTTTAATTGGTTCAACAGGTCTCTCTGTGATATCACCATCCGCTGATCAAAGTGAGCAGATGACCAGGTTAGCAAAGCTGAATTATTGAATTCGGAACTGCAGATTGGAATTTCTGGTGTCTTATAAACAGTGGTTCACATTATACTGGTACGTTGCCACCCTGATCTTAGCAGGAATAACTTGAGTGGCACTTAAAATGCATGTACACTATATTTTATATACTCCAGCCTCTGTACTAACCTCCAAAAAGTGACACCTCACGTGTTGAGCTTCTGGCTTTTGGGCTGCTTTTTTTGGTATTAAGGTTTGTAGGCTTAATCTCGCTAGACGTGTAATTGCTTGTAATTGCATCTGTAGAGCGAACCTTTGGTTCAATTTTCTCCAATCTGGTATTAATATCTTTTAGCTGCAACCATTATCATTTCAAAGAGCAGATGAAAATCAATTCAACCATCTGGAGTTCTTTATCACATACTAAATCTGTACAAAAAATTAATTCTACCGTATTGTCATGAGTACTTATCACTTAAAGATCAACATAACATGGAGTTTTGTGGTTACCATTGATGTAGGTAGTTGATGCCGGTTCAGTTCTTCACGGAACTGAGGTCCTGCCTGAGTATACATCTCCTGGAGAGAAAACACAGGGAGTGGAAACAGTCAGATGAGAAGAAAGTGGCACTTGAGTTCTGGTACCATGTTGATTCTCGCATGGGTATAAATTCCTAGGTATTTTAGCATCAGAAGAATTATTTGCTGCTGAAAATTATGCACCAACATAAACTGCTAACAGTACATAGATTCACTCTAAGACATCCAAATACCATATGATAAAACCATTGGAAAAGCATGAGAGTGGCAACATATTCCATTGATTTACAGACACCTACGATACATGGTTAATGCACTATTTAAAGAAAATGGTCTCAGTACAGTCTAGGCAACAGATAACTCCTCATTAGTTCACTTGACAATACAGTCGGTCTTCCAAAACATGCAGCAAATCAGATGATTCCTAGATTATATCTCCAAGGGGAAAAGCATATTTTTTCTTCTGTAGTAAAATATTAAAGATGGAAAAACTTGTAGCCATCTCCCTAACCTCAATACATGAAATGGCTGCATCCCTCACACCAGAATTTGGATCATTCAGCATCTGCAGAATCTGGCATGCAAGAGAACAACGCATAAGATCAACAATTTAAATTTATTTATTGAACAACCATGTATGACTGCCCATCTTGGTCTATAACTTAACAAACATGTGAACAGCATGCCCGACAAGACAAAATAAACGGTAACGACATACAGGTGGAAGAATGGCACGTTGAAGAGGTAATTCAGTAGATGCAAAGAGACTACTAGCCGATGTCACCGTACGAGCAAACTCTTCTCGAACTCTCCAGCTCTTGTGAGTCCAAGCATAAGACCCAGCTCTTTCAACAATGATTGTCGGTGAAGAAATCTGCATCAACATTGAATTCTCAGTTCAAAGAAATAAACATTTCCAAGCAAGATATCAAAAAGATAGGTAGTCAATATTCAATAAGCAAATTGTGAACGTCAAGACGTCAAAAATACATAACTAGTTAAAATCATAGTTCAAGTCTTCAAGAGGAGGAAATATATATTACTTATATTACTATCACTGTTTTCCAATCTGAAGGATATTGAGGGACCCCAAGAATGTGCACGGAATAGCCATGACACAACATATTCCTGAAATACTTTACTAAAACCCATTGATTCAATCAAAGAGTGATGCATAGAGCACATTATATAAAAGCAATCACTAAATTCATCCATGCAGATGAAATCTTACAGATAAAGGGCAATATGAAAGTACAGCTTCAGGAATTGCAAATAAGCAGAAAGTACAACAAACTTCAGCTAAAGGTATGAAACAAATTCTGCACAGAAGATGTATCTGCAGTTTCGAGCCCCATGGATATAAAATTGAATTTACACATAAAATCAAACCATTCAGTATTAGGGATATGATCAAATACAAGAGGACAAAACCAAAACGACTTAAATTACTGTTTCTCATTATATTTTCCCTAGTATCCATAAAATTAGGTCAGTACATGAATAGTCACTATAGGTTCCAATCATTAAAGCAGCTAAAAAATGATGAAATAGGATGTCATCAACAAAATAAAATCTGATCACTATGGGGTAACCGTTTATGTATGAACAAGTACATTAAAAAACACTTGACGTTTTCCAAGTAAGAATCTACAGTACATACGACATAGCTCACATTAGCGAGTCAACAAGTCACACTTACTTCCATGAGCGTGAGCAAGAGCCTCCTCGCGGCATCCCTAACCGGCTGTTTTGCATCCCCCAACCTCTCGACCACCGCCGGCACCAAAGCATTGAAGTGCAGCTTGAAGTGATCGCCGGAGAGCACGACGGCGGAGGCGAGCGCTTGAAGCGCGCCCTGCGACACCCGGAAGTTGCCGTCGTTCAAGAGATCTAAGCAGACGTCAACCAGTGACGTCACCTCCGACGGCGACAGAACCTTTCTGGAGGCTTCAAGGAGTTGGTAGAGACGCTCGACCCCGGCCATCCTTTCCTTGGTGTCCTTGGCACGCGCCAGCTCCAAGGCCTCCTCCATGCCGGCGGCAGAGGTAGCCTTCGGTGCTCTGTGGACTACGATGAGGAGCGTCCGGGATCGGATCTGCCTTCTGCGGCGGGCAATTGAAGGTGGTAATCGGACAGTGTGGATGTAGAGAGAGGAGAAAAATAGAGAAAAAGGGAAAGGTTTTTGCTACATCAGTGGAGCCCTCAGCCCTGGTAGAGGAAAGGATTATAATCATTTTTTAACTTTTAAAGTGGGTGGCGGTTGAAAATTGTTTTACTGCGGTTAGTTTCATTGGTCTATTTAGTCCGTATTTGAAAGGATTTTTTATAGGGTGATGAATTGCTAAAACCATGCTTGTTTATNGTTATTTGAGTGACATGAGTTTGTATTAAAATAATATTCGAAATAAAATGATTAGAACTGATTTGATGTAAAAGGAATGTGGAGATGAGTAGTTAAAATTATGTGAATGGATGAATAGTGAATTAAAGTTGATGTGAAGTATATGGATAATTGATTTATATTATTTAATTATATTAATAATATTGAAGATAGTGAGGTTGATGTAGGGAAGCGTACGAGTGAGAAAGATAAACGAGATACTCTCTCTATAAAACTCACAATCTTATTTTCATTCAATAATCAACTGAAGATAACAAAAAAGGGAGAGTCCTTTATATAAGGCTCCTAAACCCTAACAGTAACTTGCTAACCAAGACTAAACATAAATAACAAATGAATATTATATGCTAATACTAATAATAATAGATATTAATTAAACTACTAAATATTCCAAAAATAATAGATATTATCCTGCATCATTCTCCTCCGGTTGAGCAGGATTCGCTTTCGAATCCGACCCGATCTCGTTGCCAGCGTGAAGAGTCGTACCCATGGCAGCAATCACCCGGCGTTTCCCCCTGTCGAACACGAATGTTGAATGTCGCATTTGTTTGCAAGGCCGGAACAAATGCTCTGTGGGAGAAAAGCTCGCGCCTGCGCAATAGATAAACTACCAATGTTTCCAGAACCTTCTTCACGTATTTAAGGACAACAACATCGTGAAACTCGACATCAATCTCGGCGGGACTAACGAGGCCCGAAACAAACAATCTCTGGGAAGAAACCACAAGAACCGCTGCAATTCCTAACTTTGCAAATTGTCGAACATAGCCAAATACCTGCTGTGAGGCCACGACACGATTATCACAGGTTGTCAAGATGACTCGCATGGCGTCGCACATGCTCGGGATACTCCGTTTCTCCATGTTCGTAATGTCCACATCAGTCAGAGGCTCCATGAGGAATTCTTCTTGCCCCGGAGGCTCCTCATCGAAAATTGGCGGACCGTCGTACAATGGTCCGTCAACTTGCTCACTGTCGAATTCGGAGATGTTGTTTATCCCATTTTTGTTGCGTTTTTTATTGTCTTTTAGTCTTTATTTTTCCTCCATTCTAGGTGTTTTAATTGGTTTTTAGGTCATTTTGTAGTCTATTTCGTGGTTCGCTTTATTTTAGTCTTTCTTGTGTTTTTCGGTATTTTTCCAGTTTTTCGTTGTCGTTGGTGTGCAGGTTAGAAGTCCCGAGAGGATCGGATTTCTGGCAAAAGTTGGTTGTGCAAGCATAATAAAATAGAGGGTTTCGTTGGGGACAAGAAGAAAAAAACGGAATCAAATTCCGAGTCCAAACGAGTATAAACGAGTCCGAAAAGTGAAGACGTGCACGGAAACCAGCTGCCCACGCCCGTGCCCGTGCCGCGCCGCGTCGCCCGCCGCGACCTCGCCGTGCCAACCTGCCGCGCCGCGCCACAGCCCTTCTCCACGCCGCGCCCATGCCACGACCCGGACTGAAGACTCCGCCTTGCACACCACCGCGCCGCGAAGACCCTGCAGCGCCGCGCCGCCTGTGCCACGCCGTGCCAACTGCTTGTGTATATAAATGAGATCGGCACTTTGCAAGAGGATCATCCCTCAACTCGAGAACATAAAAACCCTACCCTCACATCTCTTTTCTCTCGTTTTTCATCTTCCTTCTATATTTTTCATCGTAGAACACGGATTTGTTCTCGAATTTTGCTATTGCTTTGGATTTAAGCCTGTTTATCAGATTCAACTTTGGGATTTTATCATTCGTAAGATTTTCTTTTCATTTAGCTTAATGAATATGAATTCTTGGGTTGATATAAATACTTGTGTTGATTCAATTATGAGTGGCTAAATTCATTTGCTAGGGAATAGGGGATGATGTTTTGATTTCGATTGTGATTGTGGTGAATGGTTGATTGTTCTTCTTATGCGAGTTGAGCTTTTATCAGGGTTTTCAATTATCGTTCTTGAATACTGAGAATTGTTGAAGGGTGACACTTCATCGCCCAATTGTTTTAATTGAATTTGATGTATTCGTGCATGATGTTGGTGATTCTATTTGATTAGTCGGTTAATCACCCTCTAGTCGAAATAGACTCGTATAAGCTAGGCTTGTTCGTAAATGTATTGCCTAGGTGTTAAATGAATCGTTAATTTGCCGTTCACATTTGTCCTCTTGTTACGAAAAGTTATTGAGGATGAATCTCTGAATAGAAAGTTACTCGAATCACTTAACCGAACAATCACTTGCCCATTAATTGCAACTCGAACCAAAACGGATATCCCCAACTCCCTAGCTTCTTAAATCCTGCTTGTTCTACTTGTTAATTTTTGGCTATTTTAATTTGCTTAATTTAAATATTAATAGTTGATAATCATAAATCATACCAAAATCTGAATTAGAATGTTTAAAGATTTTTATTTTCTTTTGTGTGGTTGAGTAAACGTGCATAATAATCCGGCTAACCTTCCTCGAGAGACACGACCTGGGGATTGAATCATTTGGTTTAACTCCGGTAAAAATTACTACAACAGATGTCAATGCGAAACGGGCCCTCCCATTGACCATATTCGCGATCAAGTCCCCAATCGTGTCGGGCATGATATCCACTAGCGAAGGCAGCCTCCTCACACCTGCCTATATCGTCGCATTGATCGTCGCCATCCACGAAGATCGATCCCCGTCGCCGCATGTCACGCCTCCGTATGCAGTGAAGGGGTCAGTCTCGACGTGCGGGGGTAGAAAATGGTCGAAGGAATTCACCTCCGAGATTGTCTCCTCGCCGTCTTCGTCAACGGACGGTGGTTGTGGAGATCTCCAGCGGGGTGCCCCGCTTGGACCACGGCCTCCACATCCTCCGCGAATTCCCCCGCGCACGCCACTGTTGTCGGCATCACGGTACGTTTGCCTGTCCCGAACCATGGTGCGGATAGTTAGACGTATGTCCCCGATCTCCGCGGACAGATCTACAATCTCATGACCATCATCTCGAGCTGACGGCCAAACCACTCGGTCCGGCGGCTCAGGTTGTAGATGGCGGCTACACGTCTGTCGTTTGCAGCATCGGGCACGATATCCGCTGCCAAAGGCAGCCTCCCCGCGCCTGCCTTTATCGTCGTCATCCACGAAGACCGAGCCCCGTCGCCGCATGTCATGGCCGCCGTATGCAGTGAAGGGGTCAGTCTCGACATGCGGGGGTGGAAAATCGTCGAAGGGATTCACCTCCGAGATTGTCTCCTCGCCGTCTTCGTCACGGAACGGTGGTTGTGAAGATCTCTGGCGGGGCCCCCCGCTTGGACCACGGCCTCCACATCCTCCGCGAATTCCCCCATGCACGCCCCGGTTGCCGGCGTCACGGTACGTTTTCCTGTCCCGAACCATGGTACTGATAGTTAGACGTATGTCCCCGATCTCCGCGAACAGATTTACAATCTCACGACCCATCACCTCGAGCTGGCGGCCAAACCACCCGGTCCGGCGGCTCAGGTTGTAGATGGCGGCTACACGCCTGTCGTTTGCAGCATCTTGTCGTCGTGACAGCATTGTGAATCGTGCTGACTTCTGATACCAACTGATGTAAGGAAGCGTACGAGTGGGAAGGATATGAATGAGATCTCAATCTCAAACACGTTAAAAATCAAACCAACATTATTTTTATTCAAAATCAACCATCTCATAACAAAGCAGAAGAGCCCTTTAAATAAAGCTCTTAACCCTAGACCTTAACTTGTCCAACAAGACAATATCTCTTACTAAATATTAAACAATAATATTAAATTTCTAACTTATTCTCTAAGACACCTATTAAATAATAATAATAATAATAATAATAATAATAATAATAATAATAATAATAATAATCTACACCAAAAGTTGAGTTGGATTTGAGTTAGATTTAAGTTGAGATTGAATTTTGTTGGAAAAAACTTAAACAAAGCCCTCTAAATTGAATTATTGGTTTTAAAATATTAAAAATATAAATCTATATGTATTACTTTTCTTATATGTATATATAATATTATAAATAACAATTAACATGTAATTTATATACTAAAAAATCTTAATAATATTATATCGTCATAAATTTGTCATGTAAATATATGTTGTTTTAATTTTATAATTTAAAATATTTTATAGTTTTTTTTGCCCATATAAGACCAAAAATATATGGAAGGAGTCAGAACTAAGGAGGGAGGAAAAAATGTGTTTTGTTCTTATGGATGATTCTTACTTTGTAAGGAGATTGCAACTGCTACCAAGGATTTTAGAAGATGGTAGTGGTGGATAGTTGAGATGGATAGCTCCTCGGTTTCTGAAGCTCGGATCCAACTTTCAACGTATATTCTTTGGCGGCTTTGGAAGTCGTGCAATCTTTGGGTTTTTCAAAAGGTTTGGATGTCAGAGAGTGATATTGTTCAGTATGCTCAACGTGAATGGTCTGAAACACTGAATTTCGGTTGCTTGGTGTTAGTTAGTTTGGTTTGTTAGTTACAGGCTAGGTTCTTATGTTAAGTGGCATTTTGTTTGTGTTTTTGTTGTTGTTTGGTATAAGTTGCTACTTGTGTTTGGTTTGTTGTACTAATGGGCCCAAATTTTTGTATTTGCCTTTAGTAGTGTGGTTGGTTAGTGTGTTTAGCCCACCGTCGGCGTGNATAGATTATTGCCATTTTTGTCATTAAAAAACTATTGTTTTACCATCTATTCCACATTAATACCTTAATATGTTCTCCCAGCTTGCAAAAACGACGTCGTTTTGGCTTCTATTTAATTAAAAAATTTGAAGCCAAACGACGTCGTTTAACTTAAAAAGTAAAAAAAAAAAAATTAAAATACTTGTTCTGTCTTACTACACTCACGCAAGTATACAGACAGATAAAAAAAAAAATACGTTCATTCTTCACACCTCACAGGCCTTGTGAAATAGATCCCCAAATTTCTTTGAGAATTTTTTTTTCCCTCATTTCAAAATGAGTCGCGCGAACTCCATTCCTGTCATCTAATCATCTTCCATCTTTAATTCATCCACTCATATTGAATCGGGCATAAATAGAATCCCAAATAAAATTTCTTCTCAATTCTCAAAGACGGTTGATCGAGAATTCTCCTCTTTCGTTCTAATGTAAGTGTTTATGTTCAATTATTCATATCAAATTTTTAAACTTTAAATTCAGATTTTTGTTTTTATTACATTATGTCTGTTTTTCTCTTTTTTTTTGGTATTCTGTTATGCGTATGGAGCAGGAGTACAGATTATGCAGATGACAAAAATTAGCATTTTATGCTGAGGCTATTCCTTTTTGAAAACAATTATAATTGTTTGAATAGTTTTTTGGTCTTATTTATTGAGAGGGGAAATATGGAGTACAATTTATGCAAGAACAGGAACTGTGAAAGTGTGAATTTTTTTTTATGGGCTCAGGTTTAAATTCACATTTTTGTTTTTATTACATTATGTATTTATGTTTGTTTTTCTCTTTTTTTTTTTTCGGTAATTTCNCCGAGTGCGGTTTATGCAAGAACTGTAAAAGTGGGAATTAATATTTTTTTTTTTCATGAGCTCAGGGCTGGTACAATTTGTACAGAAATTTATTAGTTCACAATTATCAAAATGAGTTTGTTAACAGTTGATGAGTTTTTTCTTTAAATTTGGTAATTTCTTATGTTAATTGAAAGAGATGTGTTAGCACTTGAAGAGAAGCTTGATATCTACATCAATGATATGCGTACGAATACTAATTTTTCCCAACGTAAAGGACTTGGTGGTCTTGCAAAGAAAATGGTGGACACAAGAAAGCACATAACTTATGCATTCATCTACAAGCTTCTAACTTTGGCTTTAATTCTTCCAGTTGCTACAGCTTCAATGAAAAGAGTATTTTCGGCTATGAATCTTGTGAAGAGCCCACTCCGTAATAGAATGGGAGATCAATGGATGAATGATAGTTTACTTGTTTATATTGAGAAATATGTATTTAATACATTAGCAATGATGCTATAATGCATCAGTTTCAAAATATGAAATCGCGTTGTGGACAATTACCTTCCTGTCAGTAACTGAAAAATTGTAACTTTTTTTTTTTTTAACTTAAGTGAACTTAGAAAAAAAAAAATTCATGTTGCCCTGACTGATAAAAAATTCTGAGTCCGCCACTGAATATGGGACCGAAAATATAGGGAAGGAGTCGGAGCCCCCAAGGAGGGAGGGGAAGATGTGGTTTTGTTCATATTGATGATTTAGAGTTAGATAATAGATAGATTTCTTTTTTTTTTTTTAGTTTGAGATGAGGGCAAATGTAAAAATTTATTACGAGACACATGGCTTTGTTATGAAGCGACACATGCTTTTCGAGAATTGTAAGTGTTACAGGTTAAAGCTAAAGCCTAACTTTAGTTATGAGGTCCAAGATTAAGAGGAAATCCAATTCATGTACCATATTCCACCAAGTAATTTCGTTCATAAGTTTTATATGTATGTAGTTAAAAAAAAAGTCATAACTGTCCAACCACAATAAAACTATGAAGATGTAGTTTTGTATCATCAACTACGTACTGTACATTAAAACTATGAAGATGTATTTCATCTATTATTAGACCATATGATTAATATTCCATGATGATCCTTTATGTAGGATAAATTATTAAATATTGTATATGTAGCAAACATTCAATTGTCAACTTAAAAAGAAATAAGCATTTGCACATGACTTTGGCTTTTTTTTTTTTTTTTGTGTTTACCAATTGTTCAGCTCCAATTTGGTAATTTTATAACTCATATTGTTTCTCATGTGTGTAATAGTTTCTTTCAGTTTCATCATGCTTGTTCTACCTCTATACTAAAAAATGCTCCTTTCTTAAAACAAATAAATAAATAAATAAATATTAAGCACACAAGTGTTACTGTATATATATTTATGTAGCATATCTTGTGTATTATTTTAAGGCGATATATTAGGGATAGTTAGTATCTTGTGATTAGTTAGTTTTCTTATACATCATGTAATATTGGTTATATATTTTGGTTAATGAGAATTCCAGAATCACCACGATTAGGGGATGAAACGGTTCTCCAAATATTTCTTTTGACATGGCATCAGAGCCATTTTTTCTTTCTTTCTCGTGATTTTTTTTTCTTTTTTTTTTTTCGGATCTCAATTTTCTGGACGGGATTAATTTCCCAATTATCTTGCTAGTGGAATTCTTTTCTGTTCAATTGGTTTCTCAACTTTGTTCAGAAGGGTTAATCCCAATTATCTTGCTTGGAATTAGTTGCTGGGATATAAATTCATTTCGGATCTAAATTAGTTGCAGGTATATAAATTCTTTGCTCAGAGGGGTTAATCCCAATTGGTTTCTCGGCGGATCTCAATTCTTTTTGGATCAAATTTATTTGTTCTCTTCCACGAGTCATTCATGGCAGACCAACGTCCGACACAAGGCGGCGAGGTTATCGTTCGACGGTCCATCTCCCCCTATGACATCTCTTCTTCTGATAATCCCGGTTTGTTGATCACTCACGTCCAATTGAAGGGTGATACAAATTATGAGGAATGGGCTCGTAGTTTGCGGACGGCCCTTGGTGCTCGAAAGAAATTCGAATTTCT